CCATATGGGATGCCAGTGCCACAAGTTGGAGGATTAACCAAGTGAGCCATGGCAGCAGCCCCCCAATAATTTTTAATATTTGAAAATGACAATGAGTGTAAATAGCATTTTGAAATACTAGACAAAAATATAAAATTTTAAAATAAGAGGATTTTTTTGACAGGCAGAGTGGACAGTGAGAGAGACAGAGAGAAAGGTCTTCCTTTTCCATTGGTTCACCCCCCAATGGTCACTGCGGCTGGCGCATTGCGCTGATCCGAAGCCAGGAGCCAGCTGCTTCTCCTGGTCTCCTATGCAGGTGCAGGGCCCAAGGATTTGGGCCATCCTCCACTGCACTCCCAGGCCACAGCAGAAAGCTGGACTGGAAGAGGAGCAACCGGGACAGAATCCGGCGCCCTGACCAGGACTAGAACCCGGGGTGCCTGCGCTGCAGGCAGAGGATTAGCCTATTGAGCCGCGGTGCCCGCCAAAATAAGAGGATTTAAAGTATTATTTGCAGAGACTGCTGAAGATATTTATAAGAGTGTGGATAATTAAAATTGGTTACTATCTTTTAAGAGAAGAATCTTAGCAATGACTATCATGTGATGTGAAAATGTGTATAACATATATTAATGTCAATATCACAGGTATGGGCTATGAAGTTATGGTTTCCTTCCTAAATTAATAGATACTAGCTTTTAATTACCTGCTAGTGAAAATAAAACTGTATTTTCTCCACTCATAGTCTCAGAACCCATGTTAAGATCCCTGCTCCAGGATGAATCAGCTTTGATTATTTCATAAACTTTCTTCAATCAGAAGACCATGTTACAGACTTACTATTTCAAATATGAAAATGCCAAGTTTGAAGATTCTCTTGCCTCTGTTACTCCTGTGGAGAGACATGTTAACCTACCACTTTCCCCCTTCAAAAGTATAACTTGGGACCTTAAATTGAATCAAAGCAATATCTCTTTGAAGACTCACACCACACACACACACACACACACACACGCACACACACACCAATATCAGGTGTCAGGCTCTCCCAAGGATCACAGACAACTCTGGAAAGTCCTGCTGGCTCCCCCTGGAGCTCCAAGTTTAGTTACAGATTCTACTTCTTTTTCTCACACTCAAGAAAACCAATTAGAATGCGCTGGCTGAGGATAAAATTGCATGTTACACTTTTCTAACCTCTGTTGTAATAACATTTTTTGGAGACACTGGTGTTTCATGATAGACAACAAATGAATTACCGCAAACCTCACGGTCTGGCCTATATCCACAAGTGGGGTGAGATTCCATGGTTGAGATTTGTGTTTTTAACCCACAGATACACACATCCGCGCACAGACATTGCAGGCCACAGTGATGCTTCTACAGCAATCACACCACAGGGAAAACCCAGGCTGAAAGCATTCATCTTTGTTGTAAGCAGAGTTTGACAAACTTTTAAAGGTGCAGAAAGCCAGTACTTAAGGCTTCGTGGGACATACATCACAACGACTCTACACTGCCTTTGTAGTGTAAAAAGTCAAAGCACAATTGAGTGAGTGTGGCTAGTTCTCCACAGAACTCCATTAATGGGCAATGGAAGTTGAATTCCATATAGTTTTCGGGTATCATACCATATTACTAATGCTTAAAGTTTTTCCACCTTCTAAACATATGAGCCGTTCTTTCAAAAACTGCTTTGTGTGTACATAATACTTGTGCATATTTAGGAGGTATGTTGTGATATTTCAGTGTATATAGACAATGGGTGATAATCATATTAACATAATTAGCATAATCATAACCTTAAGCACTTATCATTTCTTTGTGTTTGGAACATGCAATATCCTCTCTCCTAGCTCTTTGTGGAGATATACAGTAAGTTTCCGTGAACTATAGTCACTTATATGCTATAGAACTCTAGAGCTTACTCCACCACTGTAATTCTTTACCTATAACCCACCTTTCCCTGTGTCCTTGTCCTCTGCTATCTTCTCCAGCCTCAGGGAAAGGCACTCTGATGCAGATGGTGCCCATCAACAGGTGAATGGATAAAGAAAACGTACTAGATACACAATGCAATCCTAGCCACAAGAAATACCGAGATCCTGGTACTTGTGCATCGTGGACAGGCCCAGAAAAGCAAATACTGCATTTGCCCACTTGTGCGTGAACACTAAAAATATTTATCTCAAAGAAGCAGAATTAAAATCATTGTTAACCGGCAAACCAAACAAAAAAGAGGCAGTGGGCCACATTCAGTCTCTGGGATGTAGTTTGGTACTCCTACTCTTTAAATATGAAGTCAAAAGCCAGGTTACAGATCAGAGAAGCGAATTAATCTGGTTGGTTAGAATATTCCAAGGAGAGCTGTACCTAAAGTAAATTTTACCTGGGTTAGGAGATGAGGAAGGCTGTGATGTTTTCAGAGGATACCACATCTAGAAACGGCCTTTGAAGTCAAATGGATGCAAAGTCTTCTTGCCTGAATTCAATCCAGATGTTGATCGCAAAGATCATATGTAGGAGGCATCAGTTGTATATAAGAGTGATTGGTGTACTGCATCTAAATGGGCGCTAGGACAGAAACAGATTTATGTACCACGGAGTTTTTGTTTTTGCTTTTTCCTGAATACCTAATCAGAAGGAACATGGTACTTATTTACCTTTTCCAAAGTTAACATACATTTCACTATTCCCATTTGATTCTTAGTGTTAGCAAGAACGTGAACCCTGGCAAACCCGAGTCTTCTAAATCCATGAGAAGTACCTTAACTGCTGATTATTAACAGCAGGATTGGTTTCTCAGGGCATTTTTGCAGGGAGAAAAACAAAGACAAATGAAAAGAACGAAAAAAGTCAGGAGCAGGGTGGTAGACAGTAGCAATATGGTGTGGGTGTAGACAAATCCCTATGATTCATGGAAAAGTTAGGGCTCACAGATTAACTCTGCTATGAGAAAGTGTTTCATTCCGTACGAAATAGTTCCCATCCACCAGCTTCAAGTCATTACCAAAATTAGCCGAAGAGTCACCTCATTAGGAATCAGGCAATGCAAAAGCTGCAACACTGAATGTAAAGTGCAATCAGGTGACAATGGTGGTTCTTAAATATCACCAGGCCCACAGCTGGGGTTTTAGTGCCTGCCACAGTGTCGTTTTCTGGTTGACATATCTCTAAGAAATGCGTCTGTTAACACCCAGGCTACAGAGCCAAGCACACTTTAGTGCCGGCTACAGCTGAAAGAATATGTTTCCATTCCTTGTCCATCTGTTCTTGGCAGCCTAAGTTTAAACTAGAAAAACAGAATAAGTTTCATGAGAAATAAGTCTAAATAGGGGGTTCAAACAACAAGGTGGGTGCTCTAAGTTATTATGACTTGCTAACATTTCCTTTTGTAGGGAAAGGATTATTTTTTTTTCTTGGAAAATCTCACTGCCCAGCCACAATTTAAAGTTAAGATTTTTGTTTTTTTCTTCCTTTGCTGGAAAACATGCCAGCCTGGTCACACATTCTGTGTTAAGTTCCTCTGTTAAGTTTGCCGATGATCACGGGCCCTGATGAACTTTGAGATTTCAAAGCCCTGTCGTAACACAGTTGGACTACACTGAAAATGAGTCATTGGCATCTGAGAACTTCATGCTAAATAGTGAGGATGGAGGGCTTTCTGCGAAAACCCACTGGCTTGCTTTCCTATGAGTCCAACCCCAGCCATGACCGGCTAATCTCAGTTATTTTTGTCACCATTAGAACCTCCCACGGTATATCACCTCCTCCAGCTTTTTCTGCAAGTACAACTATATGAAATGATTTATTTGCATTAGAAAATACCACAGAAATGTGTAGGGATATCAAGTAGAAAAGAACTCTGTGTGTACCTCAAAATCCAGAGCCCAGGGGTGCACAGTCTCTGTGGATGAGGGCATAGGGCTCTCTGTGACTCCACTGATGTGAGCCCAACCTTTGCCTCCTGACTGGAAAACCAGAAAATCTTCAGGTTGGAAGGGGACCTTGAAATCCACACAGTCCAGTCTTCCTCCCTGTTTGACAGAAGTCCTGCAGTTTTTTACATGAATGCCCTCCTCTTCGTATGATCCATTTATCAAATAAAGAACAGTAGCCATGTAAAGTGCTGGGGTTCAAATGTTGACATTACATAGATGTATGAATATGAGTGCAGTCATTAACTCCTCTGATTCGCAGCTTCTTTATCTGTAAACGGGATAACCTCATTTGTTTTAACTTGATTTTGAGAGACAGAAAATGAGATAAATGGAAAGTGACTAGCCTGCTGACAGGCAACTTGGTAAACTTCAACAAGTGCTATTTCTATTAGCCCGTGTCCAATGTCCTCGATTAAAAAATAATAGTGGTGGTGACGATCGCACCAGACTGAATATGGAGCAGACTGCCAACTAGCATTTTGGTACACTGTTCCTTAACATTAGAAAAATATTCCCAGAGAACACACTATTGTATCTTAAAAAGGTAAGCCACTCGACGATGTAGAGACCGCCTCTGATGGCTACAGCTAAAGACTTCACCTCCATGGTCTCTGAGGTCTGTTACTTGAGCAAGTTCAGAAAACCCTGTTTGACAGCATTTCCTCATACTTTATTTATAGTGCTGAAAAGCACATTTGCTGCCAGTGTCTGATGTGGGATGTATAAATGTTCCATGTATCCATGTGGAATGACATCGAGTTTGTTGACGAGAAGAACTACTGGTGTGGTTTTTTGGCATTATTTGGCTCAGAGTTTGTTTTTCCCGTTTGTTTGAGAATAAGCTGACAGCAAATCGTTTTCCGTAGAACCTCAAAGGTTTAGTTAAACTGAGAGTCACAGCAGTAGGCCGTCTTTTCCTTCCTTTCTGTTTCCAAGACAGAGCAGCTTTGCGTGTCAAGTGGCTCTTGTTTTGTGTGTGTGTGTGTGTGTGTGTTTTATCTCCCTAATAGCAAATGGCGCTGAATTACAGACATGCGTGTCCTGCCTGCAGTTGATGAGGCGTCTGTTTTCTTTCAGATCTGAGTGACCAGCTGCTGGAGGTGGTTGGCTTGGAAGGAGCCATGGAGATGGGGCAGATCTACACGGGACTGAAAAGTGCAGGCCGGCGGCTGGCCCAGTGCTCCTCCGTGCTCATCAGGTGGTTCTTGCACTGTAGTTGGCATCACACAGACCAATGAAAACTACACAGGGCTCTGACCCTGACATCCATCTGGTTTGGCCTCCAATTTGCTCAGTGAATTATTAATAGGTATAGATTTCCAAATAAGGGAAAGTGATAGCGTTTACCCAGAATTGATTATTTTTAACTGATTGATTCCACTGGAATCTGAACGTCTCTTGTTTGCCACCATGCATACAGTGATATACCAACTCTAACACACAAAACTTACCCTGTTCACACATTTTAGTTTCCTGAACCAGCAAAGGGTTGCCTGGGCAAATTGTCCAAAGAAAACGCTGTTGGGCTTTGGTAACTGAAGCCCTCTCATGGATTCACGTGCAATATTGTTTCTCTAAAACTGAACAGTGCGTGATCATACAGTAGGATTATATATGTCAATCAAACACAGGAATTAAATTTCTTTTCAAGGAGTTTGTTTTCCTTCTGCAGGAAAACAAAGATCTAGGGTGAAACCACAGATTTGGCACAGGTGTATTTGGTGTTGCCTACATGAAGGTGTCGACCCTAGAAAATCCGAGACATCAAACACTTGTTAGCACGGTTGGCAATGCAGTGAGTAGGGATTCTGATGTGTCACCAAATGTCACAAGTCCTGGCAATTTTTCCAAAATTGTTGTTGGCGTCACCACATTTACCAGGATGCTCTGGCCAATCTTGTCACCAATACGTTTCAGGGTATTCCTTCCGAAGAGATAACTTGATAGCCCAGTTGTTTCTAGAGTGGCCTTCCATGTTGTCTTGGAACTTTAAGTTTCACCTGTTTGTTGGAGTATCTCAGAGTTTTACTTAGAGTGACATATTCCCCCCCAGGACCAGCAAGTCTTTGCCAATGCAGATCGACGGGGAGCCCTGGATGCAGACCCCATGCACAGTGAGTACAGAGCCCTTGAAATCCTGTGCCCATTACAGTTTTGCTTCCCGCGTGTCATGGACTCCTTTAACTCAGTAATCACAGGATCTAATCCTTTTTCTTGGCTTCCTTAGGCTCTGTCAGCTAACAACTTTCTTTTTCCCATTGCATTTTGGATTGCAGCATTGCTTGCTTTAGCATTGATTTAGCCATTGAATGTTTGAGCTCAAGTATGTATAGCTTGGAAATACCATAGGTCACTTAAAAACTCTAGAACTAGCCGGCTCCGCGGCTCACTAGGCTAATCCTCCGCCTAGCGGCGCCAGCACACCGGGTTCTAGTCCCGGTCGGGGCGCCGGATTCTGTCCTGGGTGCCCCTCTTCCAGGCCAGCTCTCTGCTGTGGCCAGGGAGTGCAGTGGAGGATGGCCCAGGTGCTTGGGCCCTGCACCCCATGGGAGACCAGGAAAAGCACCTGGCTCCTGGCTCCTGCCATCGGATCAGCGCGGTGCGCCGGCCGCAGCGCGCCAGCCGCGGCGGCCATTGGAGGGTGAACCAACGGCAAAGGAAGACCTTTCTCTCTGTCTCTCTCTCTCACTGTCCACTCTGCCTGTCAAAAAAAAAAAAAAAAAAAAAAAAACTCTAGAACTAAATAAATGTTGATACAATTTCTCATAAACATGTCTGTGCTTCAGAATACTTTATGATGAAATTATTTATGGAACCTTAAGTCAGGTCTCCATTAATTTATTACTCATCTGTTTTTTCACCTCCTTTGGGGGATATGAATGGATTTCCTTTTCCATAGAAAAGTTTCTTCTCTACTTCCTGTTTTGAAATAAAATATTTTTAAAATTATTAAATTTATTTTATTTTTATTTATTTGAAAGGCAGAGACAGACAGACAGACTGACAAAGAAATCTCCCGTTACTGATTCACTCCTCAAATGCCTATGACAGCCAGAGCTGGGCCAAGCCAAAGGCAAGAGCATGGGGCTCAGTCTGGATCTCCCACATGGGTGTCAGGGATCCAAGTACTTGAGCCATCAAACCCAGGCCATCTGATACAGGATAGGGGCATCCAAAGTGTGTCTTAACTGCACCAAATCCCCACTCTCTGTCTTATTTTCTACCATAATTGTTTTTTCTATAACGAAATACTGTTTAAGTCAGACATTTTGGCCACCCTGTGATTTTGATTATTTTAACTCATGTAGTGAATATTTCACTGCATTTCAGAAACATGTGAGGGCTACTCTTGGCACAGCGAATAGAAACAAGAGCTGGAACAACAATTTAATTGTCTTTAAGGAAGTTAACATCCTCACAAAATAAGACATAGGAGACTGAACTAATAAATAAGGTGGTAGATAGATACAAATAAATATAACTTCAAATTACAAGAAAAATAGACTGAAGTGAGGAAAAAGAAGTGAGTGATGCTCCCTTATAAAAGCTGATCAGGGCCGGCGCCATGGCTCACTAGGCTAATCCTCCACCTCGCGGCACCAGCACACCGGGTTCTAGTCCCGGTCGGGGCGCCGGATTCTGTCCCGGTTGCCCCTCTTCCAGGCCAGCTCTCTGCTGTGGCCTGAGAGTGCAGTGGAGGATGGCCCAAGTGCTTGGGCCCTGCACCCCATGGGAGACCAGAATAAGCACCTGGCTCTTGCCTTCGGATCAGCACGGTGCGCCGGCCACAGCGGCCATTGGAGGGTGAACCAATGGCAAAGGAAGACCTTTCTCTCTGTCTCTCTCTCTCTCATTGTCCACTCTGCCTGTCAGAAAAAAAAAAAAAAAAAAAAAAAAAAAAAAAAAAAAAAAACCTGATCGGGAGATGTCTTTGAAGGGGCTGGACCCAGTGAACAGAGGGTGTGGCCAAAGCTCCTATGTTAGTGGGTTTGGGAAGAGATCAAGAAGAAAAGGCTGACAGAGAGAGATCATACAGAGAAGACGATGGTGCTGAAATTAAAAAATAAAATCTAAATACAGAATGTAGATTACTAAGGGCTAGAAGGGTTATAGGGATAAAAGAAGTTTGAATTTAAAAATATTGTGACACACATACTAATATGAAATGTTATTAGGGGAAATGAGGTGAGGGTATATAGGAACTTCTTGTATACCAATTCATAATTTCTATTTGGCAGATTTAAATGAAAGGGGGAGAAAAATTAAAAGATGATGGTAAAGAGGTAGCATTGGATCCTCAGTACAACAGGAAGTTCTTGAAGACTTTGGCTGTCATCTGATTTACATTTAAAAAATGTGTGTGTGTTTGATTGCTTGCTTCACTTGAAAGGTAGATAGACAGGGAAAGAAAGGTAGACAAACAGAATAGACACAGAGAGATCTTCCACCTGGGTTCACTGCCCAGATGACTGCAACAGCGAGTCCCTCATAGGAGGGGCAGGGACTCGAGGACTGGAGACGTCACCTGCCGCCTCTCAGAGCAGGCACTATCAGGTAGCTGGAACTGGGAGCATGGCCGAGCGTGAACACGAGCCCTTCAACTTGCCATGCAGGTGTCCCAAGGGGTGTCCTCTTAACTCCTGCATCAAATGCTTGCCCAGATATTAACTTTCCAATGGTTTTGCCTGAAACTATTGGCTCAAATTCTGTGTACAGCATATAAACACAATTTCTTGTTTGTTCCTAGATATTTTTTTTCTTACTGAATCCCAGGCTTATGAAATTCATCATTTCTGTAATCATAGTATGAAACAAACCTCCCTAAGAGTCTCTCAACTAGCTATTTCCTGTGTGTCTTCTGCTATCCCTTCCTCTTGGTTGCAAATACCTTTTAAAGTCTATTTGAATATGACTTTATATTAGCCTGTCTGTTGTTCTTTACTCTCTAAATGTTGCTTACACTCACAAGTTCACATTTCTGTTCATGTGCATGTGGAATGTGTAGTGGTGGTGGTAGCAGCATTTGTAGTGGTTTCGTTGATAGGGAGGGTGGCAATGCTGGTAACTGTGATGGCATATTGTGGGGGTGCTGATGGTTATGATAGCGGTAGGGGTCATAATGGTCGTAATGGTGGAGGACGTACTGGTGGAATTTCTAGTGATGCTGGTGACAGCAGTCAAGATGGTGCTGGTGGTGGCAGTGATGGCCGCTGCAACAGTGGAGGTGATGGTGGTTGGCGTGCAGGATGGTAGTGGTCACAGTACTGGCAGTATTCTTGTCTTTAATGAAGGGTCACTTTTATTACTCTTGGTTATTAGAGAATAGGTGCAAGGAAAAGAAGGAAACCAACTAACCTTTTGAGCACTCTGCCCTGTTCTCCACTGTGGAGATTAACCTGGGAAAAGTCCCAGTGCCTGCTAGCAATCCTTTCCTTAGGGCGACCTCTAATCACTCACTCACTGCCCGTGTCCATTGAAATGTAGAATAATTGTGCCTGGTTCACACAGGCACAATATTTCTAACTTTTCTTTTAATTAGTAATAATTCATTCATTTCATCTATTAATTCTCATGATCTATAGTTGCTAAATTGATAATATTTGATTTTTCTCTCCTTATACATTCACTTATTTATTTAAAGCATTTATTGCATCCTGTAGTGGACTAAGAAATGTACTAGACTGTAGCTCATCATTGTGATTTCATATTTTGAAATATTCTACTTTTCATGGGGCTACATGGAGTCCTGAACATTATTTAAATTCACGTGAACTGAAGAGAAGATTTAGTATTTGTAGCATTGGTATAGTTTAATTATAGAGTGCTGTTGCTTCAATTGAATAATACAATTTTTTTTCCTACAGAGCCTAAGAACAGATAGAATGTTAAAATTCTTTGCTGAATTTAAATATCCATAGACTGATATTCAGTTTATGAAGAATTGCTTTAGATATAATTTTAGAGGAGAACAGAGATGTCCTGTTTCTCTTTCAGTGGACTATATGGCAGGCGATAAATGACCTGATTCTTACATCAACCATAAAGCTTTTTTGAAAATACAATAATATAAGTCCTGGAGATTTAACAATGTGAGTCTTCTTACTGCCATTTTACTGTGCACTTAAAAATCATAAATTTTATATATATTTTAGTATAATAAATAAGTAATTGAGAAAAAAATCTATTTGAAACATATTTGTGATTTTCACCAGTCCTGAGTTAAAATTTTCTTACCTGGAAAAGCAGAAGCCATAGAACCTAAAACAATCTCTTCAAATCTGTACTTTGTAATTATTTTAATCACCTTTAAATTTTCTCACAATCAACAGAAATTTGCCAGATCTGTTATAGTTCTGTAATAGTCATGGAGTTGACACGGAATGGATTTCAGGCATGGAAGTGTTGGTCATGTCAACAAGCATATTATGCTAAAGAGAATATTCATTCTAGGCGAATGTATATTGAAATAGTTCTGGGACACTCAGTCTTTTTTTTTTTTTTTTTTTTTTTTTTTTTGACAGGCAGAGTGGACAGTGAGAGAGAGAGACAGAGAGAAAGGTCTTCCTTTTGCCGTTGGTTCACCGTCCAATGGCCGCCACGGCCGGCACACTGTGGCCGGAGCACCGCGCTGATCTGATGGCAGGAGCCAGGTACTTCTCCTGGTCTCCCATGGGGTGCAGGGCCCAAGTACTTGGGCCATCCTCCACTGCACTCCCTGGCCACAGCAGAGAGCTGGCCTGGAAGAGGGGCAACCAGGACAGAATCCGGCGCCCCGACCGGGACTAGAACCCGGTGTGCCGGCACTGCAAGGCAGAGGATTAGCCTGATGAGCCGCGGCGCCAGCCAGGGACATTCAGTCTTTAGGCTCAGTTCTAGAACCCAACTATTCTCCTCTTTCTAACATCTTCCCCTGGTCCTCCCCAGGAGCTGTAGAAGATATGGACACTGATGTCAGGATGTCCCTGTGAAGGGAGGAAGGCCGTAGTCTGGGGGTGCAGGCACTAGAGGGGTAGGATAGTGGCAGCTGTATTTTACTTTGTACCCATTCACCTGGAACCTACTGGCTACCCATGTTTCAGAAGGATGGGTGCCCAATAAAGTCTTGTTAAGTGAC